TTCCCTTAGTGTATTCCAATAAAGTTTGAAAGGAACAATTTAAATTTAATTGTCATTAACTGAACTCAGTGCTTCCGGAGGTCTGAAATCTACCACAAAGACTTCAGTTCTTTTTACTTGGACCTCCTCTCCCACCTCCATATACGATCTGCCTGAGGATGGGGTTTGTCTGCCAGCTTCATGATGTATCCCCAGGGCCCAGAACATCACTTGAATTATACTAGGCCTTCACAGATAGTGAATAGATGATTACTAAGCTTCTGAAAAGCAGGACAGAATCTGAGACAGTTAATTTTATGCATCAGCTTGGTTAGGTTGATATATATGTAAAACATATTAATAATTACTCTGGGTATACTCGTAAGATTTACATTGAACTCAGTTGATTGTGATGATGTTAAGGTGGTTATCCACAGCGTGGGGGGGAGGGCAGGCCTTACTAGGCAAAGGCCTTGAGCTTGAAATGCAGCATCCTACTGGCTTGAGACTTCTCAGCTCCTACACTAAAACAAATTCTCTCTCTCCACTCCCACACTTTGTCTATATAATATGGTCCTCAATTTTAAAAGGCCCAAGTTAGGATTTTTCAACTTTCTGATGGTGTAAAGGCGATACGCCCTCAATAGGAACCACACTTGGGGTTTTCAGTGTGGATCCTCAGGCTGTTTCCTTGTATTTGAATCCTCTCCCATGATGCTGGGCAGCAGCAGTGAGCCACAGCTTCCGGTCAGCCCCTGACTATGACTTGCTGACCGTGTCCCTTGGTGTGACCTGAGGCTCCAGCTTGCCACTCTGCTTCCCAGGGCCTCACGGAAACACCCACCGTCTCAGTTCCTCTGCGTGTTTCCTCTCACTGCAAGCGAGGCTGTGGGTGGGGAATTCAGAGTCATGGAAAGTAGTCAAAAGGTTACTAGAGGGCCACAGGCAGTACCACTGCATGACGGTGTGCCAGCAGCAGCCCAGCCCCTGGATGGCAGGGAGAGACAAGAACACATTCACGGGAAACTCCCAAGGGACAACCCTGGGAGATCGGGCTCTCTCTAGCATCAAGCAAAGTGGCCAGTACCTGCCACCTGATTTACTGGTCTGGGGCCTAGACTACTTACAGGGACTCCTTCCCTGAGGGCTTATGGGTTTTGTGTAATGGGGAAGTCGATGGTAAAAGTGAAAGTTGTCATTTCCCCAAACCTTCACAGGTTGAGCTGGACACAATCTTTTTCCTTCTCACATTCTGAGGTATCATTACCTTTTCCTTCTTCCCTCTCCCATTCTGGAAGTCTCTTCTCTCCTCTGATAACACCTCCCCCTGTTGCTTAAGCTTTCAGTTCATTCATTCTTGATGTCTACTTAAAGTATCTCATCCTCCAAGCCCAGCTCCTTCCCTTGTCTCTCAAGCTTCTAATTCATCCACTCCTAATATCTATGTCACTTGTTTAATTTCCTCCCCTCCCCCACCCCCATCCTCTCCCCCTTGTCCTTGATAGCATCTAACTATGTAGCTCAGGCCACCAAGCTCTCATCTTCCTGTCTCAGCCTCCCTAGTGCAGGATGACAGGGGCGAGATGCTATCTGGGCTCCTAAAACCTGTTTCTAACTTAGGTTAAGCCCTACATCTTTGCTGACAGTAGTTTGTTCTGGAGAGAGGGAGAATTTAACAGCCATTGTGCCTTCTTGACATCCTACCTCAGAACCTGCATAGTTGCCCATTGCTTAACACTCTAAATTTATGGAGACAATAGACTATCATGAGTTCACGATAGATTACCATGCTGCTGTAAAGCTAACCACTACTATAATCAATCAAAATCTCTCTCTCTCTCTCTCTCTCTCTCTCTCTCTCTCTCTCTGTCTGTCTGTCTGTCTCTCTGTCTCTCTCTCTCATATGCTGCAAGATAAAGGTAAAACTCTGGCCTCACATGAGCTAGCTAAAGTGTCTATCGCTGAGCTATCCCAGTCCATTATCAATAACTCTGTATCAACATGTCTAATCCTGGGAAACAATGTTGAGTCAAAGACTAAGTCACACAAGACATACAGTAAGATTTCATTTACTTTCAGTTATCAAATGGGCACTTTCTGTCTAGCTGTCTGTCTCTTGTACACAAATACACATATATTTTATTTATCTATTAATCTATCCACATATATATGTATATATATCACATATGTGAGTGTATGAGCTCTGTCTCTAATCTGTCTGTCTGTCTATCTATCTGTCTATCTATATAAAGCTATATAAAGTTTAGGCCATGTATATCTTGAGAGAGAGAGAGAAGAGAAAGACACAGAGAGAGAAGGTGAACTTTTAGATGAGGTCAAACAGACTTTGCTAGTACACACTAAAAATTATTGCTGGGGCTAAAATCAGTGGACCACAGAAATGAAATGCTAAAAAGCACTCTACATGACTCAAGTGGATTAAGACCCTAGCTCCACACCCTGGAAATTTTGCTCTAATGATTTGTGGAGGAGACAGATCAGCCAATGAGGTGGAAGTTATTTGTAGCAGGTCTTGAACCCTTGGAGAGATGTGTCACATCACAAAGAGCTTTTCCTGAAGTTGTGCTTGTGCCTCTCTCCAGGATGACATCAGAGGGATGAAGAATGCCTCCCACCTCACTCCCATCGCAGCCCTTGAATGGATGGCAGAGCTCTCAAAACCAAGATATCTCAGGTCGAGGGCAGATAGCCATTGGATAATAAGGCAACTACATTGGCATGCCAAATAACATTAGGCAGTGATAGGCTGTGTATACAATGATGGCCCTGTCACATTCTGGTGGAGCTGAAAAGACTGTCCCCCAGTTATATCACAGTCACTATGCCATCCTACACCATATCACCCATTCATGCATGGTGATACTGAGGAAACCGACTGCCAATCAGACCTAAGCATGACATACCCAACTTATATGGTACTCGATAATAAGTTACCTGCTGCTGGTTTAAACATTTACTGTAATGTACTTTTTTTTTTTCATTAAAGAACTTATTCTTACAACACAACTTGACAGTAAAACATTCTGCCACGTGACCCCAGCAACAACCTTCCTTGTTCCCTGTACCTCTTCACGCAATCTCTGGTGCTTGTTGTAATCGTATGCTATTTTGTTTATCATGGCTGCAGGAATGTGCCACACACATACAATACATAGCCTGTAGCAGTGGTTCCCAACCTTCCTAATGCTGTGACCCTTTAATACAGTTTCTCATGCTGTGGTGACCCCCTAGCCATAAAATTATTTTTGTTGCCATTTCATAACTGTAATCTTCCTGGTGTTATGAATCATAATGTGGATATCTCTTATGTGACCCCCGTGAAAGGGTCATTCAGACCCCCAAAGGGATCACAACGCACAGGTTGAGAACCAGTGGTCTATAGCATCCCAAATGCCACCTGTACCTTTCCATACTCCAGGTTCGTCTTGAGTCTCTCTTTTCCCTCTCACTCTCCTCTCTTGATTTGACAGTGGGTCTCTCATCTCAGAGCTTTGTGTGGCTGGTCCTACCTCCCTCTCACTACCTCCTGAGCCCCTCTACCTTATCCGGTTTCCATCTCCACACTTAATAGTGTGTCTTGCTTTCTACACCAGGAAAATGGCTAAGTCAACAGAGACTCTGGTCCGTGGAGTCGATGCCTGCTAAATCTGAAGAACTTCACTCCTTCTCGTTTTCACTAGGATTCTTGGGGACATCAAGCTATGGCATGCTTTTTTCTTTACTGTCACATCATTGTTCCACCACCCACTAGACCCCTAGATTCTTCCTGCAGTTCAGGATGATACAAATGACGCCATCGCCTGCCTGCTTTGAGCCTTCTAGTTTTATGTAATATATAGTTAAATTTGTTTTCCTCTTAATTCACATTAATTCACAGACTGCCCAGGCTGGGAACTTTGAAGAACAGAAGAGAGCAGTTCTTCCTTTCCTGTATTAATTCATGTCTGCTTCTCTCCTGGAGTATAGATTTGTCCCCATTTCTATAGGTTTTGACTTAAAATATGGCTGGTAATAGCGCACTCTAGATAGCTGTTAAATAAATCGACCCACTGATGAGATATGGTGGAACTCTAGTTCAAAACTGGTTGCATATTATCCCTCTCTGTTCTTATTCCCATTCTTAGAATGAGAATGCCCTTGAAAACAACCAAGTTTGCAACAAAACCAAGACAAGGAGAAAAGGCATTTGGTTGGGCTGCAGTGTTTTATTCAATTCCAAGTGGGAAACCAACTTCTAGGGAAAAGAGAAACACCCAAAAGGAAGTTTGGAAGACTGGACCTTTCATTCTCCTTTATCATAGAAAAAAAGATAGTGGCCATTATCTCCATAGTTTCACTATATGTGACATTTTTCCTTGTGTGTGATATTCATTTTAAAAGCATTTCAGGAAAGGGGGGGGGAGTTAACTTCAAATCCTTTGCATCATAATAAAGATAAAAGACAGGAAGAAAGAAGACTAATACAGGGAAATGAATACAGAGGAAAGTAAGGTTGGAGTCACCAGAGTGGCCAAGCACAGCTGGTAGAACACAGCACAGTTTGAAGCCCTCCTTAAAGAGAAAGCAATAAGAACTTCTCTACAGAGTCGGAGCACACATAGAACCCAGTATCTATCATAGTTTCTTGGCGCTCCCCCACCCCAGAGAGACTGAAAGTGACACAGACACAAATGACTACTGTAACCTACGCTTAAAGGACTAAAATAATGTAAGAGGTTTATCTCCTCCAGGGTAAGTTCTGTGAAGACAGTAAGAAAGGAAGAGTCCTGTACTTAACACACCAGGAAGCATTGGGATAGGATTTAAAGATTAGGAGTCCTCAGACGTTTACATGACCTAGAACCAACTGCCTCCTGGGCAGGCTGAACCCTCCCCACCACTGTTAAGGGGTGGTAACAGTGGAGACATGCCGGATGTCTGACACCAACACAGGAAGTCAGAATCTGAATGCATTCCAGCCCTGCTCTCACCCCAAGCCACAGCAAGTGGCTGGCACTCACCCAAATCCAGAACCACAGTGAACAGACCATCTTGTGACCCTGGTCACCTTGCTCTCTCCTGGGTGGGCAGGCAGGGATGGGAGCTAGGCGCTCTGTGTCAGTATCCTTATCTCTCTGCAGCTGCCCTGCTTACATCTACGGGCAGCTGACAGCTCTTCTCTGCTGAGCAACCACACCCGTAGGATGTAAGTGGCTTGTGAGGTGCATGTGTGTGGGGTTTTCCTTCCGGTGGCTGAGAGGCGATGTTGTCTTAGTTCATTTCCTCTCAGTACTCCTGTTACCATCTCCGCCTCCTCTTCCTCCTCCTCTTCCTTCTGCCCCTCCCGTTTTTCCTCTATCAGACTTTCTTATAAGCTGGAGATACTTTGTAATTTTGAGTAGGGTGACAAAATTAATTTTTATAGGATGCCTTTTCTGTGGTTTGAGACACGTAGGTGATCTCAACGTTGAGATTAAATTCTCTTGAAATGGCCTTTCCGAGTTGCAGTGCAGCAAAATATGGGCTATTTAAAAAGCAACAAAAACAGCTGGATTTGGTATTTTTGTTGTTGTTGTTGTTGTCTGTATGGACTGAACTTGTTCTGGAAGTTTTTACTGTTAATTGACTTGGAGCATTCACACACATAGTTCATATTTATTGAGCTTTAGGAGTTTAATAGGTGATGAGTTAGGGGCTGTATCCCCAATGGATGTCCAATTTACAGTGTAGTAAGAAGTAACGATTTACAGTGTGGTAAGAAGTAACGATTTACATACAGTATAGTAAGAAGTAACGATTTGAAGCAGTAGAAGGGAAGTTGAAAGCCATCTAGCCCCAACCCGGTTTTTTTCTTCTGTGCTTTTGAGCAGTAGATCAGTAGACCACCCGATCAGAGTTGTGTTATGTCTTACACATTTTTGGGGCCTTTGGCCTCAACATCCTCACCTGAGTAATGGGAGAAATCATGGACATCCAATAATAATTGAATGGGTGAGAATCTGTCATAAAATGAAAACTTACATGAGTGTTTCATAGTATTAGCACCAATTTTGTATCTCTCAACCTAGGTCTTTGTTTGCTTCTTTTTCTTCCTATTTCCTATGCCTGAGAGTTGCCTAGGGAATTATTTGGAGACATAGAAGAATGAGAAAAAAAGAGAGGGATTAATTGAACAAACACCTCTAAACATCCACTGGTGCCCTGTGTTCCTCCTCAGCTCTAGCCTGCTGTTGTGAGAATCCCCTCCCCCGATCATGGTGGACTCCAGGAAGAGAGGGCATTCTCCCTTCTCATGGGGTTCCAATGGCAAACTAAAGTTCACCCTAGGGAACCAATGAGTTTATCTAAGTTACTTATGGAGCATGGATGATGCCCATGAATGATGGGCAGGGATGTGGATGACCTTAAAACAGCCACACTGGAAGTCCTGTACCCAACAGCAGATGATGGCTTCCCCAGGGTTTCAGAGATAGAGTCTCCTCCTCTGCTCCTTCTCCAGCTGTTTGTATGCTCTAGTCCCTCCTTGAGAACTTTCAGGCCATGTGCAATTAAGACAGAATTGCATGAAACTGGTTGGGAGAAGGGCTAGATACTCAAGAGGGTCCTATAACCTTCTGCCCCTCTTCTACGAGGGGTCCAGAAGAGTCAACAAGCCCAGCTGTGGTGATCTTTTGTAAGCAGGCCTCGCTGAACTCCTGAAGATGGTCCCAGTTTGGCTCAGAGGATGGTCATCATGTACAACACCGTTTCCTTTTCAAGGCAAAAGAAAATCTGTATTGTACCTCCACACTGTTAGTCCTTTTATGCTCTTGTAAGTTCAGCTCTGTGTGTGTGTGTGAGTGTGTGTATGTGTGTGTGTGTGTGAGAGAGAGAGAGAGAGAGAGAGAGAGAGAGAGAGAGATGCTGTGGTTTAAATCCAAGCCTTGAGCATATCAAGTCACTTTTCTGTGAGTCCTGCATGTCCAGTTTATACAACACAAAGTCAAACAGTCCAGACAAGAGCAGTATCTTGTCCAAATGGCTAATCTTGCCATATTGGAAGTAAACTCCATCATGAGTTTCTTCAATGTCCATCTTCATCTTCCTTTTTGATGCAGGTGGTGTTGCCAGGAGCAATTGTGCCTCATTATCAAGAAAAACCCTAAACCATTTTAAACGCCATATTCTGTAGGTCTTTGAAAGGTTTGAAAAATTCCTATCTATCTCAAATACATCTCTGCATATCTAGAAAACCTAACTCACCTAGCTATAAGTTTTTACTATTATAGGTAACTATCAAAAATCTGTACTACATTATATATTACATTTCTAAATGAGTTATATAACACAATACCTAAACAAGAGGAGACATATACTTAATTACAAAATTGTCCTTAAATTTATATCAATAAATGAAAATCCATTCCAAAACAAAGTATTCATATCTATACCATAATTCCCTTTTTACCTTTAAAAAGAATTGGCTGTGATTATTAACCATTTATAACCAAGCCCATTTAAATGAAAACAAACATTTATAAACAATATTTGGGAATTTGGGCGTCGTTCTTTCCAAACTACTTCCTGTTGATAGGGGGCGCTGTCATGGGGATCCTAAGAACATGCAGAAATCCTGGTTGTAGTCTGTGAGGCTGCTTTGTCCACCACGTTGCACCTCCCCTCCAACTTTTGTTGTTCTGCTTTCCTGTACCATTCTACTGAAATCCAGACCCGTGTCTGAGATGGCAAGAATCTCACTAAGGAATATTCTACCCATAAACACACTTCAGGCAAATAGAGAAATACGACTCGGCTCGAGAGCTGCAGGGCCATCTATGAACATGCCAATACCAATCACCTCCATTTGTCTTTCTGCATGTGTCTGTCAGTGAGACAGAATGCCTCCTGAGCTACTCTTCCTCTTCTGCCTAAAAAGCATTCGTGAGTACATGCTATGTATCCAGACCTCGTACAGGCTCTGAGTAGATTATTCTGTTTGCAGTTTGTAATTTAAAAGCACAGACTCTTCATAATGAACCAGCAGGGGCAGAGGAAAAGGCCTGTACATATTTTGTCTAACTATCCCTGTATGCATTTCTCATTACTAAAGGATTATTTCTTCATTGAGCCTTTAATCTTGTTGTATAATTTAAATGTATGAACTTTTCAATGTGCTTTACAGTTTTATAGTATAACAAATGCCATCAGATTTTCGTTGTGAATCAATGATACACTAGATATACTGGAAAAGGGTGGGCAGCTTGTTCATAAAATGTTGGGATTTATAGCTTACCCACTGATCTTTCTTCATCTCTAAATGCCTAATTCTCCCTCTGATGAGGTGTGTGTGTGTGTGTGTGTGTGTGTGTGTGTGTGTGTGTGTGTATACATACATACATACATACATACATACATACATACATACATACATATATATAGAGAGAGAGTGTGTGTGTGTGTGTTCAGGTATGCTTGCCCATGAGTACCTATGTGGAGGCCAGAGGTGGAGGTTGAGTACATCCCTCCATCACTTTGCAGGGCCTCTTACTGACCCTGTTGCTCAACAATTCAGCTAGACTGGCTGACCCGACAAGGCCCTGGGATCCTTCTGTCTCCTCTTCACCACCAGGGTGGCAGACATGCACTGTTTATGTAGATGCTGGCGAGATCTTATGGGTATCGTTCCACAGGACGAGTCCCTTCACCAGCTCCAGCAGGTCCTAGATGGGGTAGATGCCAGGGTGGGTCAATCCAAGTCCTGGCTGTGGGACTGGATAGTAGCCAGACTGTCAGTCCAGGTCTCTGGACTACCCACCTCAGCTGTGGTGGTGGAGTCAGCTCCCCACATGCATTCCCTCAGGGTCAGTTCACCCTGGCATGTGGTGAGGGGTGGGGACTATCTCTCCAGCATGCAGGGGCCAGCTCCCTTGCTGTAGTGTCTAGTGAGAGGCAAAGTGAGCTTTCCCAGGGCCAGAGAAGGGCGTGGTCAACTCTGCATGGCCCTCTGATTTCATTTTGCCTCCTAAGATGACATGGGCCACAGACATCCACACAGACCCCAGCTGTAGCTGGACCATAAACCCAGACTTGACCCTCAGCAGCAGCTCCCAGAGACACCCTGGCTCTGGGTGGAGGGACTGGCCACTCAGATGGGAATAGTTGCAGCCCTAACTTTGGCCTCTATGTGACTTTGGTAGCAATGCAGGACCTGAACTTCAGCACAGACCCCAGCCATGGTAGTTCCATGGACCCCGACATGGTCCTTGAAAGTGGCTGGGTCTGGGTGTCACCACTGCCCCAGAGGCAGTATGGTCCTGAGACACCAGCATAGCCCTCGATGTAGGGTGTCTGCATGGCATTCTATGAAATAAATGCATCAGACATCAACACAGACCCTGTCTACTATAGGACCAGGAACCCTGATATGGCCCTTAGCAGCAGCCTGCCCTAGACATCATCATCATCATGGTTCCAGGTGGCAAGCTGACTGCTCCCCCACTCCCCCCCAGTCTATTACTCACTGGTGTCACCATGGATTCTGGTGGCAAGCAGGCCTTCAATGTGTGCCCAGTCCTCACCATATTCATGTCTTCCTTTCACATCTTTCCACAGAGCATGGACCCTTCTGTTGCTCTACCTCTTCAATTTCTGTATGACATATTTCCTTATTGAAATAAGGCCCACATGCCCAGCACCAGGCAGGCCCCTGGCTGTCTTCCTGCCAGCCTGGGCCTGGAGGACTCCTGGTGGGCTATTTTCCCCCACATCCAGGGTCTTGGGAGCCCCAGGCCAGCTAGCGCCTATCTGAACAATGACGCATCAGGCAAAGATGGCTGTCTTCCTGCCAGACAGGGTCTGCATTTTTCTTTTAAGGCAAACTGAAGAACTGAGCATTTGCCCAAAACCAAATCTGAATTATTTTAGAAAAACAAGTTAATAGTTTTCACAGTTGATAAGGATGTAAAGATTTCTGTATCTGTTTTTCTTTCTTGGGATCTTATGTTTTTCCTTCTGCCTTTTGTTTTATTTTGTTGCTTACTGCCCCCCCCCCAACCCCGTTTGATTAGTGACAGGTAATGCTGCTTGTCAAAATTTTACAAACTGCAGATGTTTCTGACAAAGAAGGAGAAAGCAATTTCTGACTACTCAGGAGGACCAAGAGGTGTTTACATTCTTTCTGCACTTAAA